TGGGACCATGTTGCTAAAGAGAAACCTCACTACTAACTGAACCTCACCGGTAACAGTATCAAGAACCTTGAATCCTTGAATCCTTGAATCATGTTAGTTAGGGTACCATTGAATATGAATAAAGTTTACTTGCATGTTGACAAGCAAAAAGGGCAAAAATTACAGTTTTACATGCCTTTTAACGTTACTTTCACAAATTAATCACATTTCTCAAATTTTGGGTGGGGGGGGTGCACTTTGTACACAAATGTTATAGTGTTGGTGTTATGTTAGTTCTTTACATAAATTTGAGTGGGTTTAAGATGAAGTTTGGATGGCAGCACAGATAAAAGCACAAAATAACATGTTACGAGGGCTTTGGGGATTAGACAAATTTGTAAAATCCTAATGTGATATCACAAAAGACGTGCAATCCATTGACAAATCCAAGCCTGAAAGTGTTAGCAAGTGTATTCAGTTGCATGCAACAAGAAACACATGGCTGAGTTGAATGTGAAGAAGATGCCCTGTCAACAAGTCATTCTGCACAGACCCTTATTCCACTCTCTGATAGCTACTTCAGTCACGCACGGTATTGATGGGACAGTTAAAGTACAATCAGCAGTGATATTACACCTCAGCAGGGGAATCTAAAAGTTAAAGTGTTGCTTTTTTTGTCTGAGAGCTGCAGGTGGAAGATAGCATCAGAAAGGAGAGAGGAGAGAAAAGTGAGAGAAAGGCAATGAGGGGTACAGAGGTGATTTGACAAGAGAGAAGTGCAGAGAAAGGGTAACAAGAAGAGGGCAGGAATTACTTTATCATCATCCTAAGGCTACAAAAGGGAGGTGTAAAAGAGGACAAGGGGAAAATGTCTGGGAGAAAAAGATAAGCAAACTCTTTAGTCAAAGTGTCTCGAAATAAGATGCAGCTGTTGTGCTGTCATTCCTCTGGATGGGTTATAAGTCATTTAATACTATCATTTCCACAGCAGGCTGCTTGTCTGAACCAAAGTGCAGCACCCAGTAGTTTGTAATATGATAACTTAAGTTCAATAATGTGACTTGCATTTACTTACTTGTATGTTTTGACATTGTGTTGCGTAGCCTCTGGAAATCCAAGCATCCCACACACCACACGGCTGCTGTTGAGACTCCAACCCAGGTCGCACACCTGCCTCCACCTCCCAGCATGCTTCACTTCCACGACACCCTCAGTAATGAGGCTCTTTTTCTTTGTAGCCATGAGGATGGGACGAAGACGGACTTCTTCTATCTGCACCTTACTGTGACCCTTCCAAAGAATCATACGCATCATACCTGTGATTCCACGTCTTTCACAGAATAATAAATATGCACTGGACATTAACAGCTTTACCTGGTAGTGGTGGGGTCTATGGAACCTGGGAATCTCATGTGGATGTCCATTTCCGTAATACCCGTATCCAGGATGTCGCTGGGTTGCAACGATACCCCCCCATTGAGGTGCATGGCTGACAGATGGCCTGGCAGCAGCTGTGTGACCTCTGTTGGTCGCACCAGGCTGATCCACCCTGTGCTCAGGTGTGCAAACAATCCCCAAGTCTTCAGAGTGTTTACAATCATTCACCCCCCAACCGTTATGCTTGCAGTCTTTCAGGGACTTCTCTGAACCATCACATCGTACGTTATCCATCCATATTGGACCTTGTGAAAGAACAAATTTACAATTTCATTAATTAGGATTGCTCAGTGCATGACTAAGTAATGCATCTAGCCAGCAGTTTGAATCAGTGGCTGAATGTCTAACACCTGACTTTTATGGGCAGGCTGATTTAGATTTGCACCTGAGCAGTGTGTTTAACAGGAGATACACCATATTTTACAAGGCAGCAAGGTGCTGTAGATCCTGCACCCTCAATCTGTTCAAGCTTCGCTTTAATTTGGATTTAAAAGCAGCTGTAAAGAAACTCCATAAACCACAGCAAGTGTTGCACAACTCTGGCAACCAATGCTATCATTATTCTTAAACAAACACCCCCGTTTTTGCTCGTATAGTTGCACCCCTGGCCTTGCCAATCAAGCTTAACAAGACGTAGGCTCAAATCCCAAAACATGTTATCTTTGTCATTTTATGATGTTTGTTATTTTGGATGCCTTAATTAGCGGTCTTTGGATGAAGCTATGCATGTGAGTTGTAGGGTCAAAACATGGCAGCAAAAAAAATTTAGTTGATACAGTTTGGGATAAAGTGATCTAAAAAGACTTTCTATGACAGCTAAACATATTTTAAAAGTGGGTCTTCTTATATTCAAGAAAATCACTTTATACAATAATTTAAAGAAGTCAGAACGTTCTATAATCGTAATGAGTCTTATATGAGTAATTGGTTTTCTGAATGTCCCATAAAGACACTTGCGAGTTACCCCTTTATTCAAAACAGAGTCATTTTTTATGATTTTAAAAAAGTTCTTGATTATCACAAGAAAACATAATTTTTTAAAGTCAAATATCTAAATAAACTAAACAATTATCTGAAGAGAAGTACTCTTACTCTTTCTTGATGACAAATTTCAGTTGAGCCTTTATCTTATCTTTAAACATTGCTGTTAAAATGAATGATCAAGTATGGCCTGTATCGGCTTTCATTGTATAAAAATTACAATTTGTTATACATTCTCACCCGTTCCTTCTCCATACTTGGCGCTATGAGCCCATGTTACAGCTCCTCGGAAACCCAGTTCTCGGCACACCACGTTAGCCAGTTTTATGTCCACTTCATCGTCACAAACGGTCCCCCAGGTGTTGTTGTGCAGCACCTCTATGCGCCCTTCGTTTGCTTCCCGTGCAAAGTTTCCCGCCAATCGCACCTTGGAGGCCGGTGCGCGAGCCACCCTGCGCTGAGAGGTCCGCCGAGGTTCGGCATGTGTGGTGCAGCTGAAGGACAGCAGCAGAAGGAGGTGGATGCTCAAGCAGAGGGAGCAGGTCATCTTGAGTGAGAGGAAGAAACCTGGAGGTAAAAGTTGATGGTTCATTAAGCTCTAATTTGGTTAGGCAGATTTAATAATTTGCCCAGTGAAGCTAACTACAGCTAATGTCAAAAGCTGCATTAATTTTAAAAGCATTTAATTAATCTAAAACCAGTTATTAGAGTCTATGAGAGCCATTTTTAAAAATAGACGTTCACTGGCATATTGTGAGTACTGCCACAAGTATATCAAGAAGTTTGCTCGGAGGTAGTTACAACTGCATTGGTAACTTACAGTATCTGCAGACAATCAGCAAAATAAGGGCTTTCCTTGTTCTGTATTTCCACTTTAGATTTTAGCTACAGCTGCAGCAGGAGCCACAGAGCGATGCCACACATATCCAATCAAGACTTTTCACTCATGTCAAACAAAGGCATATAATTAGAGATCCAGCAGCACACTTTTGTGAGGCAATTTATGTGAATAAACATCCCTCGGGACAAAACAACCAGACAGAAATATAAGAGCTGGGTCTAAACCGGTGCTGAACAAGTGCTGAAGCCAAACATAGTGGTGGAAATAGTTACTTAAATGGAAGCCACAGGAAAATGCAGCACTCAAAATACACTAAATGTGAGAGTGTGTCTATGGATGATAGAATTACAAGAGAAAAACCACCATTAAAGAAATAGATTTTGCAGAGTAAACCTCAGAAATCTCTACTGAGTGCGGCTAAGAGTGGTAAATCTTAACCCATAACTAATTTCAGCTGTTGTTGCAGTATTGTTGCTCAATGACAGAAAATGTACCAGATTAGACTAGAGCATCCTGTGCCTATTTCATCTTTTAGAACACCTGTCACACTGACACTCTAATAAACCTGTTGTCACAAACAAATAAAGTCTTAAAACAAGGTCATTTCAAAATACCAGTCTTTGCTGAAACTTTGAACAAGAGGAAGGTGAAAGTTCACTCACCTGGCAGGCAGCTAACGTGGTGAATGTCGGCGGCAAGGAGAGGGAGCGAGTGTGTGAAGGAGTGTGTCAACTAAATGCTCTCCTTAGTCAATCCTCCCTTCTTCCCTCCTTCTCCATATATCCCTCCCTGCCTCTCTTTTACTGCCTCCCTACTCTTTCTCTCTGGGGTTCTTTCTTTCTTAATAAAATACTATAAAGTGAAACTGCATACTGCAGGACACAGCATGGGGCACTAATGAAACTTACATTTATTATTTATTTATTTATTATTCTATTAGTAAAAGTCATATCCCAAACTGTGAGGCATACGGAGATGATAATTACATGGTGGTAACCATGGCCTGCATGTGCAGCACACAGACAAATGCTCAGACGTTTTTCTATAGGGGGCACTATCATTGAGGTGTTTCCATTTGGTTCTCTGACTTCTAAACCTCAAGTTTTAAAATGTATTGCAATATATCTTCACAATCCCTGGTGTCTATTGGGTCCAAGATGTATTTGATTATATAAATCAATTAAAAATAACTTTTTTCTCTGAGCTGATTTTTTTTTTCAAGTTGAGGACAAGGAAGTCACTTTAACCACTCTCCAGTTTTAGACAAGTGTATTACGATCAGTATAAAGTACTGTTAACTCAAATATAAGACTTCCCAGTACAAGTGAATGCA